TTTTTTTGTAGATGGGTAGATGGCATCTGCTTCCGTTGCCTTAAGGTTTTTTTGGAGATGGGTAGATGGCGTCTGCTTCGGTCGCCTTTTTGTAGATGGGTAGATGGTGTCTGCTTCGGTCGCCTCAGGGGGGTTTTTGGGTAGATGGCGTTTGCTTCGGTCGCATTAAGGGTTTTTGGTAGAAGGGTAGATGGCGTCTGCTTCGGTCGCCTTAAGTTTTGTTTGTAGAGGGGTAGATGGCGTCTGCTTCGGTCGCCTTAATGGTTTTTTTTGAATTTGGGTAAATGGCGTCTGCTTCGGTCGCCTTAAGCGGTTTTTGTAGACGGGTAGATGGCGTCTGCTTCAGTCGCCTTTTTTGTAGATGGGTAGATGGCATCTGCTTCCGTTGCCTTAAGGGTTTTTTTGTAGATGGGTAGATGGCGTTTTCTTCGGTCGCCTTGTAGATTGGTAGATGGTGTCTGCTTCGGTCGCCTTAAAGGGCTTTTGTAGATGGATAGATGGCGTCTGCTTCGGTCGCCTCAGGGGGTTTTTGTAGATGGCTAGATGGCGTCTGCTTCGGTCGCCTTAAGGGTTTTTGTAGATTGGTAGATGGTGTCTGCTTCGGTCGCCGTAAGGGCTGTTTGTAGATGGGTGGATGGCGTTTGCTTCGGTCGCTTAAGGTTTTATAGATGGGTAGCGTTTGCTTTGGTCGCTTTAAGGGATTTTTGTAGATGGGTAGATGGCGGCTGCTTCGGTCGCGTTTTGGGGTGTGTGGCTTGACCAGCATCTTTGCCAACCAAAAAGTTTCCTCTGAACACTTGACCGCTGGCTTGACCAGCATCTTTGCGAACCAAAAAGCCTCGTCCGAACACTTCACCAATAACTTGGCCAGCATCTTTGCCTTCCAAAATCTGCCCTCTGAAAGTTTAACCGCTGACTTGTCCAGCACTTCAAACTGGAGTGATTACTTCGATATGTTTTCGCTATTTATACACAGGCACTAGTCATACATTTACTGGCTGCGCTCTTTAACATCTTCATGTCATAGAACTTCAACATGCATGCCCATCTGTGCCCTAAACAGGTTCAATTCCGTTTCCTCACACGCAGATCAGATCCTCAAAGGTGCGACCATCAGATCCTCCATTTCCTGCGAGAAGGATCACAGAGATTCCGTTGGTTGTTGGAGGTCCACGGCGAGCTCGAGAGTCATTTTTCCCTTCGAGAAATCACGTACTCCGATTGGATTTTACCAATCCTTTGATTGAAGCATTTGAGATCATTTGAGCGACTCTGAAAGTCAGCAACCCTGACTGGAAATCTCTTTGATTAGACCAGCCTCGGTCTCTGGGCCAGCCATGGCATGCAGTTCCACGAGGAGCTTCTGCGGTGGGAGGGAGCGGATGAAAGCGCTGAGAGCGCGCTCCGGGAGCGGCTGGCGCGTTTGGTGCCAGGGAAGTGTGTTTTGGAGTTGACCGAGGAGAACATCTTGTCCTATGGGCAAGGGGATTGGAGTCTGACACTTGGAGATTTTTTTATCTTTTTGGGCAGCCCTGCTTTCGTAAAGTTGTTTCTACAGAATGAGGCGCTTTGCATTGCACGAGATTCCTTTGGAATCGCGACTTGTGTAGACAATCATTGCCTAAGTTTTCCTACCGCGTCACAGTCACAGCCATCTTTTGTGACGTGCTCAGGATCGAGCGCGATCTCTTCGCCGCGTTTTCTGCGGACCTGGCCCACTTTCTCTTGAATTGCTTCAGAGAACTGGTGCAGACCTGCTTGGTTGTTCGGAGGGACCTCCGGCGGAACGGATGCGAACGGGAGAGCTAACTAAAGGACTTTGAGACGCACCCAGCTGAAGGTGATGCCAGAACAGCACAACACTCAAGACGATGAATTTCTTCTCCGGAGGATCATTTTCCAACCACGAAGCTTGTGGCAAAGGGGTTCCAGCTGAGTTTTCCAGGATCTATTTTACATAGATCAAACAAGAAATATATATATATATACATACATATATATATATATATGTATATAATAATGGCTCAAGGCCGTTTTCAGCATCAAGCTCAGAGGTTACCGACCATCTGAGCTGAGCTCCGGGGCACGATCGCCACAAGCTTGAGGAGCACACAGGCCAGATCGTGAAGGGAGCGGTGATCCCATGCAGCGACACTACAGGGTCTGTGGCCACTGCCACCAGAGCTGGGTCTGGGAAGACCGAATCCAGGCAAACCCACAGCTCACATGCAATCAGTGCGGAGCTCGATGGCAGAAGAACATTTTGCCTGACTTAAGGCAAAAACGACAAGTTGCTTGGGCACAATGGAACTTCAATGGACAAGGCCAACAGTGGCCCAAAAAATCCTATAAGGCTGCCCTCTTGGAACCACCACCGGGTCTTTCAGGCGGCCAACGGAAAAGGAAGACAAAGAAAACGAAGACAGATGACATGCACAAGGTCCTGAAGGAGCACTGGGACAGCCTGCCAGAGGCTTTCCGGAATCAATGTACTGCTCTAGGTGTACAGGTGGTTGACCCTCCGGCTCCGACGGATTTGCCATCTCTCATCAAAGAGCATCTCCAAAGCCTTCCATCTGACCTCAAAGAGGCTGTTGTGAAGATTGTGGAGCCCGAGAAACAGGAGCCGACATTGGCTTCGAAGGTCAAGCTTGCAGTGGGCACTTTGAAGCAGCTCACCGAAAAGAAGACCGCCATCCAAGCTAAGGCGGACGCAGTGAAGCAGCAGTACACTCAATTGCTGCATGACCTCAAAGAACTGCAAGGGAAGATTGAAGTTGCGCAGAAGGAGCTGCAAACTACAACCCAGCAATACAACCAGCAGTTGGAACAGGACAAACAAGCGGATGCTGATGAAACGGCCGACGAACTATCTCCTGAGGCGCTGATCACTGCAATGGCCAGTGTAGGACTGCAGGCCACTTCGGCCCAGGTCAAGGACTTAGCGTCCAAGCTCATTGAGAGCGCTGCAAAAAGGAGAAAGTGTGGGTAACCCTGATTTTCACAGGGAGCATTCGGGGTTCGACACAACCTTTTTGACCGACTTCCACATGGGGTGCTGTGAAGTTTTTGAGAATGGTTGTGAGGTTTTTGGCTCAGGCCAGGAAAGGGGCGAAGACTCCGTGCCTGAGATGGGGGGTCCTGAGGATAGACCTCAGGAATGCAGCCGGGATTTTCCTGGCTTCTATGGTGGTGCTAGAGAAGATGACGTTTCCATGTCCGGCGGTGAAGGAGAAGCTGCAGGGCAGGATGATGTTCAAGGGACTCAGAGCCCTTTGGACTATGTGGTTCAGAATCTGCAGTGCCGCCTGGGCAACCCACGCAACAGGTGCTTTGCAAATTCAGCTTTCCGTCTTTGGGCTTGGGCGGGAAGTTTCATGGAGGGCCCACGTCTTTGGAGCAAAACGGCTGCAGCGGTGACAACTGCATTGAGAAGTGATGATGTGGTGCAGCTGACGTCACTAGCTGGGCTGCGTCCACTATGGACGCAATTTGATGATGCACAACAAAACGATGCTTCACATTTCCTGCAAGAGTTGGTGGCTCTGTCCGAGTCTTCGATGGTCATTCAGAGCTACCATCAAGTTGATTTTCATCAACAGGTATCCCAAAAGAAAGCTTTCCCGGTGCATTTGATTTACCCTCCTGCAGAAGGACCTGAAGAGCTGGAAAACCTGATTGCGGAATGGGCCAATCAACAAGAGGGCCAAGTTTTTGACGGCTCCGGTCTCTGGGTTGGCCAAATTGGTAGATATACCAAAAAGGCAGAAGGATGGACCAAACATCACAGACCTTTGCAAGTTCCATCGATTTTCAACTTGCCCATCACGACTGATGGCATTTCGACTCGGACACAGCAGTTTTCGGTGATAGGCTATTTGTGCCACTCTGGCAATGAACACCAACATGGGCATTTTTATGCGGTGTTTTTGTATCGAGGGCTGAGTTGGTTGGTTGATGATGGCATATTTCCGCGTGCACTACCGGGCATTCAGGAGTCCCTGAAGCAACAGATTGTGCAGGTATGGGCTGTCCCTTCGGACCGCTTGCTTCCTGCACAGCTGTCACATGATGAGTTTGCACGTGAACCCAAAAGCAGTGAGCCGGCACCAAAGAAGCGATGCGTTGAGGGCTTGCGATTTGACTTTGCCAATATCACAAACATGGGCCAGCAGGTTCGCCAATGGCTAGTGAGCAGACCGAGGCAACCAATCTTTGTGGTCGAAACACACCTAGGCCCAGAAGATCATAGAAAGATGCTACAGTGGATGACGGCCAGAGGTTATGGGGCCATGGGGGCACCTGCAGCTGAAAGTCCCAAAGGTGGCACAAATGGTGGCATGATGATGCTATACCCACAGCATTTGCACTTCCACTATGTTCATGAGCAACTTGTTGAAGGATGTGGTTGGTTTGCGGTCAGCTGGAATTTTGATGGGGGCGAAATTGTGATGATCATGGCCTATTTCAAGTGCGGTGAGGGCATTCAAGGCTCGACCAATGCAACTCTGTGGGCTGGCCTGGTTGCTTTCGTCACAAGCCTCCAGAAGCAGGTGATCATCTTTGGTGATTTCAACGTCGCCCCTGAGGTTTTCATGACGACAACCCTTGCTCAACACATGCAAGTGCAAATCCTGGCCACTGGAGAGGAGACTTGCAACACTGGCAATGAGCTGGATTGGGCCCTGGTCTCGACGCCTTTAGCGGCTGATTTGACTGTAGAATCCAATTGGTTGGTGCCTTTCAAACCACACGCCATGCTGCAGTTTCGATTGGCAGGGCATTTTGCGGAAATTGCTGTTCAGCAGCTGACCAAGTTCGGACCTGCTCCCCACCTTCAAAATCCTGAGGTCCAATGGCATCAAATCGACTCTCAAGAAACAACAGTCAAGTGGCTGGATCAGATCAACGACCCGCTGACAAATCAGGCAGGCAATTTGTACAACCGCATTGAAAGATATGTCCTGCAAAATCTGGAAGAGCCTCAAGGGGGCAGAGGAACCACTTTGCAGTTTGTGCATCGACCGCTACATGATGTCAGCAAGCCTTGGTTGTGGAAGCGAGGTAGCATGGCTTTCTGGAACCAGCTTGAACTACGACTACAACAGTTGCTACACCAAGCAGGCAGAGAGCCCCGACATCAGGCGCAGCTGCAAAAGTTGGGATGGAAGATTAAAGATCACTGGCACTCTGAGGCCTCGGTGTCCATGACGGGGTTTCTGAGTCTCTTTGAAATGCTGTGGCATCAACATGGGGATGAGCACATTTATGTCCTCCTCAACTATGCCCAACAGCAGAGAGAGTTGCATCAAGCTGAGACTTTCCAGCGAGAAACTGAAGAGTACAGGCAATGGCTGACCACAGCATCTCAGGCTGGGTGTCGTGGGCTTTACCGTACGTTGAAGAGGGATGAAATGCCTTATCTACGTCCTTTCCAAGATCAACCGCGAGCATTGAGGATGCCAAAGAGAGTTGAACAATGGGGTGAAATCTGGCAGGTCCAGAAGCAGCAGATCCTCATTCCATGCATGGAACAACTCATTTGCAAGGGCCAAGAAGAGGCCAAGAACCTGCCTTTCTTGTCGGACGGGCAAATCTGGAAGACCATCAAATCGCTTGCCATCAAGGCACCTGGTTTGGACGGGATTGGATTTGATTTCCTGAGGTCACTCCCCAGAGAGGCCATGAAAGATTTGAGAACCTTTTTCCAGACAGTTGAAGAGCAGTCCATGATTCCGCATCAATGGAAGGCATCTCTGATAGCTTTGATCCCAAAGAGCACGGTCATTGAAAGGCCAATTGCATTGGTCGCAACCATGTACAGACTATGGTGCCGACTTCGAAGTGACCTCACCAAAAGATGGTCTAGCAGCATCCAAAATGAGTAACCATGGGAGCGGGCAGTTCCTGGTACAGAATGTCTTCAGGTTGCGCTGAAAAGGTCGTTCATGACTGAGCATCATGCGGCACACAAGCGGACGGTAATCTCTGTCCTCCTTGACCTCTCCAACTTCTATGACAGGATCAGTTTGGAGCAACTGGCTCAGAGATGGCTGGAATCAAGCTATCCGGCAACGCATGCTGCTTTGGCCATGCAGATCTACATGGGGCAGCGGATTCTCGAAGCTGAAGGGGAAGCATCAGCCCCACTGTGGGCCACTCATGGGATCCTTGCTGGTGATCCACAGGCCCCGTTAGCCGCAAAGGTGTATTTGCAGCGAGCTCTCAAGGCTTTTCACAAGCGTTTCCCTCACCTGCACTCTGATCTCTGGATTGACGACTTCAGCTTCGATGTTGTTGACAAAGACCCTCACAATGCAGCACGGATTGCCATCAATGCCTATGCTTGTGTGAAAGCCGAACTAGAAAAAGACAATTTGAAAGTCTCAGAACAAAAAACTGGATTCATTGTCTCCAATGCGGCAGTCAAGAAGATCCTTGCTGAACAGCTCCCTGAAGGGGGCCCAAAGGTACACGATGTGATGCGGGACTTAGGCATAGACTGCACAGCCGGCCGACTTCGACGGATCCAGACGATGAAAGCAAGAAGAAAGAAAGCAGGACGAAAGAATGTCAAACTGAATTCCCTGAAGATCCCCAACAGAGCCATTCAATTGAAGGTCTATAAGGGCAGCATTGTCTCGGGCATTAGCTGGGGCCACCAGGCAATGGGACTTGCTCCACAACTCCGGAGAAGGTTGAGAGCAACGATGGGCCGTCAGATGGGGCTCCAACGGACAGGAAATTTAGACATCCTGTACGACATGTACCCCAAACATCGGGATCCCGACTACGCTGCCTTTGAAGATCAGGTCAAGCTGTACAGAAAATTCCATGGCAACTGGCCGGAGGCTCTGGCCAAAGACCTGGTCAAGGCCTGGAATGTCCAGCGGGACAAACTCAAATCAGTGCCTTACCCTTGGCAGCACGCCAAAGGTCCAGTTGGAGCACTGCAATGCTACCTGCTGGAACATGGATGGACCTTTGACAAGCAAGATGAATGGGTCAAGCCAGGTCACAATGGTGAACCAGATTTCAAGCTGAACATGAATGCAGACTGGTTTTACCTTCGCCAAGAACTTGAGCGGGCTCATCGATGGGAAACAGTCATGAAGATCAACAAGCGACAGTTCCTGCAAGAGGTTCAACAACCTTTGGATTGGCTACCTTGGCGGAGGCTTTCCCGCAGTCTGTCCAAAGCTCAGAACACGGCCCTACAAACATGGCATCAAGGGGCGATTTTCACCAAGTTTCAGGATGGCCAAACAAACTCCCGGCTCCTGTGCCCACACTGTGGAAAGGACGCAGACACCATCCATGTTCTCTGGCAATGTTCCGAGACGCGGAAACATTTTCCGCCTCTGGACCAAGAGGACTGGCTCGAAATCGAGCACGGAGTCAACTTGGAGTTTTGGTCCCAGGGACTTCTGCAGTTGCCTCGCTATGGGCTTTCTACAGGCGGCGCGGCTGTACAGAGCTGGGGATCTTGGACGGCAAATGATGAAGTTCGTTTGAGTGGCATTGATGTGGTGACAATTGGGATAGCACCTACAAGCGCTGACCCGCGCCTCAAACATTTCGTTGTGGCCTTGGTGCACCACACTTTGATTGATGGAGAACTCATGCGGAAGGGAGCTGTGACCACAGTACTGCCAGGAAAACAGTCGACAGATCGAGCCTGGTTCTACGGGCTTAGGCTCATAGCCCATTACGTGCAGCTGGATTCGCAAGTTCGAGTACAAGTGCTTTCGAAGAAGGCCTGGGAGGCCTGGGTGCATGGGCGCCACAACGATGTTTTCTTGGACCTCACGCAATTGGTGACGCGTGATCAGAAAAGCCGCATCAGGCCTTTGAGTTTGAGTCACAAGCAAATCAATGAGATGCCACCTGGTCCCTATACTCTGAAGTCAAGGTTCAAAGACGCCTCGAAGGTAGCCAGAGAAATAGCTTTGTCCCAAAGACCGGAGCAGGAGGAGGCAGACCTGAGGCTGACAGACCAGCGTTACAACAAGATTGCCCCGCTGGCTATTGCCCGCATCAGATACCTCCTGGAGACCAAGGATCATTTCCTGCACCAGGTGAGAGAAAGTGGACGCATCAATAGACAGAAAGCCAAAGAAAAGAAAGCACAGTTGTTCCAAGACATAGGTCAACAACAGGGTGAGCATGCACACCAGTGTGTGGCAAAGACCAGAGGTCTTCAATGTCATGGCTGCAACAAGCGCATCACAATGCATCTCACTTATACCGCTTTGCAGAGCATCAAGGAGGAGGAATGTCCAGCCACAACTCAGGTGTCCATCCAAGGAGGACGAGCTCCAGCAGAGAGGAGCAAAGCCGACCTCATCAAGAGCCTTCTTGATGGAACATATCCAGAGTTGCATGGCCATAGTTTTGTGCTGCAAACCAACTACCTGGTCTGCACGGGCTGCAACGGCCGCATTTTGCGGCATGCAGCTTCCGAGAAAATAGAAGGGCTAGCGAAGTCCAAATGCTGGAACCAAGAATGGGTCCCCGATGGATCCTGGCAGGGCCACAAAAGCCACAAGCTGTGGCGGAAGGGCGGCAGAGTCACTTGCCAGTGCTGCAAAGCGCAGGCTTTGGCGAAAGAGGGCAAGTTCGACGCCAGCCGCGCTTTGAAGAAGCAATGCGGCCACAATACTTTCCAGCACACGTTGCCCACGATGTTCACCAGCCAAAATGGCTGAGCTCGCTCATTCGGAGAGAAAGACACGCAGAAAAAAAAATGTATATAATAATATGTACATATATTATATAATACACAATATGTATAATTATGTATATATATATATGTTATTCTTTTATTCCGTGCTTGTTGTGCCAATTTTGAGATAGCTGCGGTGGAAGGGCTGAGTTGCATGCAACAAGCTTTTTTTGGTCCCGAGATGGCCCCAGACAGGCAAGGAGCTATCATCATTTGATCAGTGAGTGGTGAGTGCGACCACCAGGGCATGAGAGATCACTGAGATAACTAATTACCTATCTAACCTATTTGGAGAGTGTTGGAAGCGGTTGGTTACGCAACGAGAAGTTGCAAGGAATTCGATCATCTTTTTTGACTGGTCGCATGAGCCAAAAGGAGGGGCCTTGGTCAGGTCCGTTGGGTTAGTTCTTATGAAGTTTGCTTCCCCCTAGAGATTTTCCTTGTTGTATTTTTAATCGCGGGCAGTTCGATTTTTTTCAAGCAGTTCTTCCAGTGCTGCCCTCTGGTGCTCAAGGAGTTGATCAACTACAAAAAGCTTTGCCTGCACATGTGGCAAGCAGGCTCGCTTCTGGAGAAGGACTGCGCCGGGCGAAAATCCGCACCAGAAGAGCTCTGCCGGAGCTCCGCTCCTCGAACGGTTCGTTTTTGGCTCATTTTTGCGGTGGAGGTAAAGACGAACAGGTAATCTTTAGGAACAACATGAGCCTAGAAGCTACTTATCTCATAGTGGCTGATTCATACTGTCTATTTTGCTTGAGGCATTTAGAATTTAGCTGGGTCGTGCAAGGTGTTTGATCTTCCAATCTTCTCCCTCAGGACCTCCGTCAGTTGGCGAGCTTCTTCTATTGTGAGCTGGTCAAGGGCAGCAACAGCCCTGAGCAGGAGCGCTATGTGAACATCGCCAACGCCTTCAATGAGTGGCTCGATACTCCTTTGCTAGTGTTGCGACTTGCGGAACGGTCGTTGACTTTTGTCGTTTTCACGACGTTTGGGACACTCAACATGAACTGAACACATTCTCCAGCTTTCGTCCTCCAATCTACTTGGCTCAGGAGGTCAATGATTTCCGAGGGACACTTATGCAAGAGCTACACAAGCTTGGAAGAAGAGCTACAGCTATTTTTCTCGAGATTCCAAAACTCATAAGACAAGCTTTGCTGTCGTTGCTTTTCTGTTTCAGCACAGCAGCAGTCACACCCTGAACATCACTGCTCTCCTGCGTTCGATCCAGCGAGCTGCACGCTCGCTCACCCGAAAACACCTGAGCTGCAAGTGACCCGTGTAGGCTCAGTCCACCCCACCAAGTCACCCGTGCGACCCATTCCTTTCCGCGACATCGTTCGTCGTTGGGCGGATCCAGATGCCGTGGGGCGCTGGCGGTGATCTTCGATGCGCGGCACTTCTCCAAGGCCATCTGCGCCTGGCCGCGCCATGTGTCCCAGCGCGAGAGGTGGAGCGGGACCTGGGGTGGGACTGGGGTGATTCCAACATGAGGAAGTGGAGCGGGAAGTGCTGAAGAGAGGTGGATGGGGGTATTCAGGGATCTGTTTGCCGAAGGAGGAGGCTAGCTCAACGGAGTCCCAGCGTTGTTCCTTCTTTCACTAACCCCCACGAACATGACGGGAACTACTGCTGAAGCTTGTACAGAACACTTGTTCGTCCTCCCGATCTGTTGGAATTGACTTTCCCCATGTTCTATTCCAGACGTGCATCCTTACAGCTGTTGATGGCACAAATCCTGCAATACGCGGTGTACTGAGTCTGCCCCGATGATTTCTTTCACACAGCCGTGCCGCAATGGTTTGATGATTCAACTAAAGTGGTTCTAGCATCAGCATCCCTCATGACTCACCCAAGCTCGATCCCAAAAACCAGACCACCTGGACAACCTCATCCATTGATTCACCCCCTCCCAGGCGAATCCGCCCGATCTGACCGTTCACTCCTCAGGTGAAGACCGGGGTGCCGTGGAAGTTCGAAGCGCTGCCGGAGAGCCTGGAGCTTTGGAAGCCCTTGGATGAGGCCGAGCACTTCTTGGAACATCACCAGGACCAACCAGTGGAGACCTCGTAGCGCGAAGTGGGTCTTTAACCGGGTAGCGCGAAGCTACGCGGAACGGGCGAGATTCGTTCAATCCCTTCTTTCAAGGGAGTAGCTCAACACAAACACTTTCACCTGGACTGTACCTCCCGCCACTAAATGTTACCTGGGTGACAACTCGAACAAAGTGACCTTGTCAGTTTTGCCGATCGCTTGGACTTGGATCGCTTGGCCATGGCCTGTCTGCAGCGCCTCGCGCCTGGCCGTGGCCGTCGCAGCCTCAGGAGATGGATGCGTACTTCCAAGCCATTCATGATGGCAGCCAGGAGCGAGGCTGTTAGTCGATTATGTGAAGAAGTCGGCTGAAAACCGCTGAAATACCTCAGCTTTGATGTCTACGTTCCTTTGAACGCGTGATGAAGAAAGGCTTGAAGCTCCATGATGACAGGCCCAAAGACCCCATTAGAAAACCGGTATATTTCCTCCCAAGTTCCCGACCCAAGCTGCTTGAATGGCCAGACTCAGAGCGCCGTTCTTTTTTTCGCAGGAGGTTCCAGCCATGCCGCGGCTCCAGAAGACTCCTTGGCGCTCGGAGCGGCAGTTTGTGGAGTCTCCCTTGGCCTCTCAGGGCCTCCAGGAGCGACGACGGCGCCGGAGCGACGGTTCGCATGGGTCAGCTGGTGGATCTTGAGCCACTCGGAAGGTTGGGATGCAGGCAAGCGAGTGGTGGGTTAGCTGGTTGGTTGATTGGTTGGTGGTCGGTGGTTGGTTGTTTTCACTGACCGATTGTTAGCACAGATATGAGATGGCTCCCCAAGAGCCATTCTTGTAGCAATATGGTGTTTTGTAACTTGTAAAAGCCGTTTCATTACCAGTGGTCCAGTGAAGTCCAAGAAAGCTGCGCGCGTAAGTGATGCGGCTTCTTCAAGGTGAGCAGCTGTCTCTAACCATGATTCAGAATGATTCATGATATTATCAATGAATCAAGTATTGATCAAGTATCAATGATATCAATGTTACATTTGCACTCACAATTCCAGGTCCTGACCACTGCCCAAGCAATGTCCCAGCCTCGTGGAAGAATGTGGAAGAGTTTTATTTGATGTCTCCTGGACAAAATGAGACACCTAAGAGGTCCGAGACCCTGCATAAGCCTCGTGGAAAAACCGGCAATTGTGCCACAGCTTCAGTCCGCAGTTTGGCATGTTTTCCTCACGCAAGTCACTCCTCCATGCTCGGGAACCGAGAATGAACTGAGAAAGCTGCAAACATACCCTTGAGCTGAGAGGTCTGGCAAAAGCCATGTTAGATATAATTCCCCAGATAGCGAAGCTATGGGGTTCTTACTTCAAATAACAATGAGTTGCCCGTGCGCGCTTCGAGCCAGGTTGCTGGTGCTGGGTGCCGGTCATGGTGCTGGTGCTGTGAGCTGGCTGTGCACGTGGTGGAGACAGGTTGCTGGTGCCGGTGCTGGTGCTGGGTGCCGGGTGCCGGGTCCCGGTGCTGGTGCTGTGAGCTGGCTGTCCACGTGGTGGAGACAGGTTGCTGGTGCTGGTGCTGGTGCCGGGTGCTAGGTGCCGGTGCTGGTGCTGTAAGCTGGCTGTGCACGTGGTGGAGACAGGTTGCTGGTGCTGGTGCTGGGTGCCGGGCGCCGGTGCTGGTGCTGTGAGCTGGCTGCGCACGTGGTGGAGACAGGTTGCTGGTGCTGGTGCCGGATGCCGGTGCTGGTGCTGGGCGCCGGGCGCCGGTGCTGGTGCTGGTGCTGTGAACTGGCTGTGCACGTGGTGGAGACAGGTTGCTGTTGCCGGTGCCGGGTGGGTGCTGGGTATACCGGTGCTGGGTGCTGGTGCTGGGCGCCGTGAGCTGGCGTGCCGGTGCTCGCTTCGCTACGGGTGCCCGCTTCTGACAGTGAAGTGATAACAACCGCCGCTTCTGACAGTGAAGGGTAACAAGCCGCCGCTTGCAGCAGTGAAGGGCGACCAAGCGCCGCTTCTGACAATGCAGTGCCAGCAGTCATGGGCCGCATGAACTTATGCACGCAACATCATGCGGTGTTGTCGCTTGAGCGTTCTTTGTCTATTAGCGCTGTGGGGTATTTACACTCTTCAGGTTCTGTTTTGGCCGACAGCTTTGTCAAGGGCTGTACTGTTTGCGCGCATACTTTTGTATGTATAATGTTCTATGCGCAACGTCAGGCTCTCAACCGACCATTGTTTCAGCATGTTTCAGCATGCTACACACAATAGTCGTGCTGGATACTGCTTGGCCTTGGGCGAGTGAAGCCTACCGGCTTTGCCGTTTGCGCGCATACTTTTGTGCGCGTAAACTTATGTGCGCAAGATCATACGGCCTTATCGTTCTGCAGATCATTGCTTCAAGCATGCTACGAAGTCAATAAGTGGCGCTGGATACTGCTTGGCCTTGGGCCAATGACACTTACGGGCTTTGCTGTTTGCGCGCATACTTTTGTGCACATAAACTTACACGCGCAAGATCATACGGCCTTATCATTCTGCAGATCGTTGCTTCAAGCATGCTACAAAGTCAATAGTGGCGCTGGATACTGCTTGGCCTTGGGCCAATGACACTTGCGGGCTTTGCTGTTTGCGCGCATACTTTTGTGCGCATAAACTTACACGCGCAAGATCATACGTTGTTACTCCCCAAAGAGGGATAGCTATGGGCTGCAAATTAAAATGAGCTGGTTGCGCGCGCTTTCGAAAGGATGTCGGTGCTGGTGCTGGTGTTGTGGTCCTTGGTGCTGGTGCTGTGAGCTGGCTGAGCGCGTGTTTAAGACGGGCGGCGGCGCTGGTCGGGTGCTGGCGCCGCTGCCGGTGTTGTGAGCTGTCAAAGCGCACCGGTGCTGGTGTCAGCTGATTGTGCGCGCTGTGGAGGTGCCGTAAGCTGGCTGTGCAGGCTGCATACATTCTTGTTCCAGCCAGTCGTATGTCAACAGGTCGTGGGATTCTGCCTAGCTATCTGGGTCTATGCTGGTGTAATGTACTTATTATGTATTTTTGTGGTTTGCACCAACACATTATGACCAGCAGCCTGGCGCTTACATGCACTTCCCAACAGAATCACTGGAGAAGAGACCGATGTGATGATGTTTAAATGTGGTGTACATCGCCAGGTTCGTCGACCGAAGTTCATTCGACAAGAAAGACGTGAAACGTGTGCGAAAAAAAAGAACCCACGCACCTTTCCGTGACGTGGATTTTGGGGTCCAGAAGTGAAGCGCCCCAGGAGATTCTCTCTTCCGTGAAGGCCAGACGACGACAGATCGGGTACCGTTCTTTTTTGCTTTCCTGCAAGGACCAGGTGAAATGCAAGTCAAACACCAAAATCGGATCCCCTAGCAAGGTCCTTTTGTTTTCAGGATTTCGACGAACTCTTTTGGGGTGCCAGTCAGTGTTTTTCTGGTGCTTGGCCCCATGAAGAATCAGAACATGCTAGTGGTCGCACCAGATTTTGATCAGAAGAAATCGACCCTGTTTACCCCTTTGGGTGGACCGTAGAGAAAGATTTTGCTATGATTTTTGTGTGGCGTTTCAATAGACACCACTGATAGATTCTGCTTTTTCCTTACAGTGAGGATAGAGTTTTACATGTTTCACCATCCGAATGCTGTAGTTTCCATCGCGGCGGAAAGAGGGCCGGTGGGGCCTCTGAAGAGGGCCGCACAGAACATCTCCTAAGAGGGGTTTCTTCACCGGCACAAAGGGTTGGACTCGCAACAGATTCGCAACAGATTCACCCATTGATGGCAGTTGAGGATTCATTGGCGAGCCCTGAAGGGAAGGCCCAAGCAGCTAATTGTGTCAAAGGTTCTCTCCTTTGATTATATAGGCATTTAAATCGTGAGCTTGATATGGGACCTTAGAGAGGTCACGTCAGTTCTTTTGAGGCTGCTGGTTTGGAGCTGCCTGCGCGGGCGGACGACTACCTACGCTTGGTCTTGGTGGCACGGGGTGCGTCGAAGGCCCTGGCGCTGCGGTCTGCGCTGGGACGCTACGTGGAGGTGGACAGCGATGAAGTTTGGGGTTGATGTCCACTTGCCATGGACGCACGTGGAGCTTTTCAAAACAAGAATAAAACAGAAAAGGCCAATGGTTTTCAGTCTGTGTTTCTTTCACAGACACCCAAATTCAAGAATAGCCGCACATTTCTTTTTGGATTCGAAAGGGCCGTAGACTTGGGGATTGGTCTTCAAGATAAGGTATGAAATGAAGATTTGGGGTTCCGGTTTCGCAGCTTTGACTCATATCAAGATGGAGACCCGGTCTCCAATGGATGCAGTTGTTGAGAAGAGATACTGTATATAAACACCCTCCTCGGGGACTTTCATCCCTGAAGCTAACCCATCTATGAGCCAACATTTACGAGACTATCAAGATCCTCCCAGGTACCTTCGGATCTAGGTCAATCCTTCCGGGGCTGCCTTCGGGCGAAGGCCACTTTCAAAGGTCCGGAATCGCATCGTTCTGCGGGTTCTTGCACCCCCACCTTTTGGGACCTGGTGCGGACCCAAAAAAGCATCGCCCATGGCCTCAGGACCGCACCAGGTGCATTTTTCTTTTCTTCTTTCCTCCACTACCCATCAAAGCTGAGTCAAATGGCCCTAACATCAAGTGTTTTAAAGACAGGGGAAACTGCCGTACGGTTGTTGTTGGTGTGTGTATATAATATACATACCTTAGAAAGTGCAACTCTTTTCTCTAGGACTCTATGAGATTGCCCATTTTGTTTGCGTGGTCGTTGAGGCACTCCGATCGGCCTCCGAACGCGCCAAGCGGTTGGGGGAGCAGCTTGAAGAGCTGTACCTTGGCACAGAAACGACCCCTCTCCGACGGTGTCACAGACCGGTTGAGCACGGTGGCCCAACGTGACGCAGACGCAGAGAAAGGTGGTCTCATGACTTCTCCCTGAAGCACAACGTCATGGGCATTTAGTAAGCCCAGACTTCCATGATGTAATTACAAGTTTTAATCTTGAGTTTCCCTCAACAGCTAGAAGCCAAATCACTAGTGCGGGCGCTTCTTCGAGGAAGCTTCCCCAGCCGCCTTTAGGGTTTCTCAGGTTTCTGAGGTACATCCAACGCGAACCTTTTTCGTTGTACCTGAACACCATCACAGCGTCTTCACGAAAGTGCATCCGTTATGTTGTCAGGCCTTCCGGTACACTATGCTTTGCTCTATGCACTCAAGTTCCTTTCACTCTGATGCATTCTGCAGCGCCATTGCCACGGTCTCCAAAGAAACCTTCAAAGATATTAATATTTACAAGTTACAAGATATTGCAACATATTCATTCATTTAAAACACACAACCAGCAGTGAAACAATATTTCATGAAGAAGCTCTTCAAACAAAGTCGAGGACAATTCGATCCGGGTCTGCAGCAATTTCGAAAACAATAATGTCCTACAAACTTTTCGTGGACAGACATTCCTAGAACCACCGAAGAGTCCAACACATATTGCGAAAAAGGCTTCACGGGTTCCGGAAAAGAATAGTCAATGTTCCTTGCGAGCACATCAACAACACAAAACAAAGGGAGATCAGACTTTTTTGATGCAACTTCCTCATGGAGCTGTTCTGTGTCCAGTCGCAAGGCCCGAAAGGGCTACAGATCTTCATAAATGTTATCACGCAAAGGCACGTGCACCACAGGCAAGGCCAGAAAGCTGGCCAGCTTACCACTGGTAAGCTGAAAGAAAGAGGTTTCTGCTGAGCAAAGATCTGCTGCCGAGTCCAGACGAAACGATCCTTGAGCCCCTTCTCACTCTAGATGTGCCAACATCTCCACCCGGCCGGCCGCACAGTCCGTCAAACCGTCCCAGACTTGAAGTCACAAAGGCTGGAAACACACTGTTTTGTTGAGAAACTTCATCAACCAACCACCCACAAACCTCTTGGATGAACCCGTTTGATATAAAAGGACGAGAACAAGGTTCCTTTCCGTAGGGCACCCTTTCCTTCATTGTGATGCCCTGGAAAAGACCGGAACGGGTCTTGTAAGAACCGAAAGACCCATGTACTGCGATGCCTCAACCAAAAGGTCTCCCTTGGGATATGTTTTGGTTGTTTTCCCCAACAGGTGCTGCCCGTGCTGCACGTGCTGTGCCTTTGCTTCCTGACCTTGGTGGCTTCTCTTGCTCCCAAGGGCGTCGAAGTCCTGGCATGGCAGCGCCATTTCGGCTGGGCTACATTTGCACTGTACGAGGCCGCCGACGTGCGGAGAATGGGGCGATGGAAAGGCACGGCCGCTGGAGGCATCCTCTGCAACTCAAGTTAAGAAGTGCTTGAGGTCATTCACTGATGTAAAATAGATGAACCTACCTGGACCGTGCCATCCACTGAACCGCTCAGCAGGCACATGCTGGTCCTACAGGGCCTACGTCCCGTCCTCGCTGAGATGCTGCGGTGGCTGGAGCCGATTCAAGAGATGAGGTGCCGCTCAAAACGTTGCATTTGGGAGGCCTGATGGGCCTGGTGAAGTAGGAAAACTCTTCCTCTGCGACCTGTGGGTCTCTTGTATCACCGATTTGCCAGAATAGAGACTCTTTGTTTAGTTTTTTCTGAAGTCTGGCCCTCAAATCTTGAGAGGCTTTTTCACTTTCCCAATCAGGTCATCCATCAGGTGCATCTGGGCCGGGGCTGAAAAGACGCCCGACCGACGGACCGACGTTCGTCTCCGCCAGGGCGGACGGCGAACGGCTCTTCGTTTCCGGCGCCAAAGGGGCGGCGGCGTTTGTGCCGTGACCCGGTGGAGACAGAGGGCTCGAGCGGTCTCCGAGTGAAGTGAGGATTTCACTGGGGCCACAAAGGATCCATACTGGAAACACCATGAAACACCCTGTTGGGGAAGTAACATTTGGACCCTGACAATGGCCTGGAAGATGGCTTTCCTCTAGAAACCGGCTTTCAGTGTCCATGTTAGTCTTCCGAAAGGTATGCCCCTCAACTTGAGCAAGACTGTCATGTCCTCCGTGGAAATTAGAAGGTTTGGTCTCCCAATCAGATGGGTCTCTCATTCGCAGTGCTCCTGGATCAACAGGAGTACTTCGCTCATGAGATCTGCCGCAAAGGGATGTTCCATGTCAAATTGTGCCGTCCCGGACATCTCTCGTATTATAGAAGAAGCGAGGCGGCAAGCGTCGGCAAGCGTCAAGCGTCCTGAATTTCTCAAAACAAAAACATTGGATGCCCACGTGGAGCTCTTGAAGAACCGCCGGGTAAGCAGTTTTCTCCTTTGATGCGGTATGCGAGCCACTTCATGTAGGATGATTGGCCAGGATGTATAGTTTTGGGATGTCTTGGGCCTAGTTTTGGACCACATGAATTGCAGTCTGAAAACTGCCAGTTTCAGAGGGGTGGACAGTGGACATTCTCAAATCCAAAAACTGTGGGCTCTGTGAGCTCTGTGGGCTCTGTGGGCCACTGCTCATTGATTCTGGGCACCCCAAAAACTTCATAAAAATTCGATGTGACAACCTTCGCGCCATCCGGATCAGACGTGGATTCGGCGACCTCCTGGCGCCCCACCGCGCTGCGGTCAAGCGCTTCCGGCCTTTGATGCTGACCGCGCTCACCGGAGCTGGGCCGAGTGGGTGGCCGCGCTCGGCTCGACCAGGGAACCAGACGCCCGGCGGTCAAGTGGGGAGTGATCGGAGGCAGCTTGGAATGAACTCCTAGACTACTAAAAAGCTTCTTGTTACTAGTAGCTTCAAAGACCTACTAGTAGCTATTTGCTACTAAGAAGCTTCAACGACCTTTCCAACGCCATAAGGCCATAAGGTATGTTGAAGTCTCCAATACATGGGGTTGCTGGGGGACATGGAGGTGGGGTCGATGGTGGGGTCGCCCCGTAGCAAGATGGTGACTCAACAAGAAGTCACGGCCTTTGGCAGAAGAATCTAGTTTAATCTCAGGTCTGAAATTTCCATGTGGGATGATACTGTACAAAGTCGTCCCTCCCTCCCCTTTTTTCTTGCTGGAACGGAATGGATGATGCCTGAAAACGACTCAACCTTCCAGAAGCACTCGAGAAAAAGGGTCGGACCCTCTTCACCGACGCGAGCGTGGAAACACGTCGGCGAGCGAGCGCGGCACAGGAAACACGTGGACGCTTGTCGCATGTGCTCCGTGGAACTCAGCAGGCTTTGGTTGCATCGATCTCTTTGCCTTTTGTGCGAAGCGAAGCTTCGATCGCAGGCACAGTGGGTGGGGAGTGATCACACGGCGGACAGGGGAGATTTCTAGATCCATGAGAGCATGGGCACACGGCACACAGTATTCTTTTGTACGTGGGTTTGGGGAGATACTGAACGAAACCAGACGAAACCAGACACATTCCCACAGTGGATGGACGAGAGAATCCTTGAGAATCCTTGAGGCAGTTATGGAATCTGCCATGCTGGATGGTGACTTGAGTACTGTGCTCAACAGCAATTGACCTATTTTGTGAGAGAAGCGATTTGATCTTTGGTTTCCCTTCCCAATCAATTTGTTCGCAGGCAATATGTATTTTCATGGCCTTTGGGCTTCTTCGGGTAATCCCAGCCCATGGGCCAAAAAGGACGACGTAGAGAGACGTAGATCGCCTGTGAGCATTGGAAGCGAGAGATGACAAGCAGTTGGATGTTTTTGACATAGTCAATTGACATAGTAAGTTGGATGATTTTCTGCGCCCACTGCCATATAGCAGCTTGGATCTTGTATAACTGGTGTTTTTTGTTTGTTTGCTTGCCTGTTTAGTTTGTTTGTCTTGTGCAAAAAACAAATGTCGGACCATCTCCCATTGTCATCCCATTGCTTTGGCACCAACTTCCCTCCCTTCTGTAGGGCTGTTGCCCCTATGGCGGCGACCGGTGTCTGCGGAGCTTCTGTCCACACGAGCATCGCTGCGTGGTGTGCGAGCAGTGGTCCTGTGAGCAGTGTCAGCTTCTTCGTGGTGATGGCGAAGACGCCACACGTCGCGACGGGGCCGGGGTCGCCACACGGTTCGACCAAAGAAGAGGAGGCGGTTTTGGCGGGTGGAAACAGGGAAGGAAACTGAAACTGCAGGTATATACAGTTGTTGGGAAGAGCGATTTTCATCTACTTAGGGTGGTCTGGCAGTTCCTAAATTGGTTGTTGGGGTGTAAGTGGTAGACCAACAGGTAATGATCCGGCCGCAGTATCTGATGCCTTACCATCCACCACAAGGTTATATCAATACTAGAGCCCCCCTCTTTGATCTTTTAAGGGCCAAAGTCAAAACAACACTGCAAGACAAATGACAACTCACTAGCCAGCATTTGCCAGGTGGCATCGTAGGCACCTGTTCCAAACAGTATGAAAACCCTAAGGTTTGGCAGCTGGTCAACCAGCGACCTGTGAACCTGCTGTTCTTGGACTTCGACCGAACCCTTTGCACGACCAAGGCACGAAGCCTTTGTCGGATGATTTTGGTGGTGAAAGTCAAGGGTTGATCCAACATGTAGGGCTTATGTACCACACACACAAACACGCACCCTGCAAAAAGTGGCATAGATACTGATAATACGATGTGGTAGAAGGGGGTCCTTCATTTTCCCATCGTCCTCCCTTTCAGGCTGACTGTTTCGAAAGCCTACGCTGACCGTATCTGTTGTACACAGTCGCTGGTTGACCATCCTGATCTGCCAGGCCGGTGGCTCTCCTTTGCAGGGCTCACATCGTTTGGACACAGATCTGGCCACGGTGTGCCGCATGAACTTGAAGGTCGTGTGGGGTGAAGTTGAACCTCGTGCTTTTCCACATCGACTTAACAAAAATATGGCTCCTGATGGCTCGTGTGACCTTTCTTTTTGGTCGCTTTTCGGTGGCCCACGGACCATCACGCACCCCTTTTTCGCTTCTGGGTGTTCTCCCAGTGGCCGAGATGACACTTCCTTGGTCACGATCGCGACGCGGAAGGTGCTGATCGTGACGCGGAGCTCGCGGAGCGAAGACATCGTGGTCTTCTTGCGGCGCCACGGTGGCTCAGCGTGGCAAGGTGGGAAGAGGTCGGAAGGCGTTTCGACGTCTATTTTTTCTATTTTTTTGAGACATGGATCTGGATTCAAAAAAAACACACGCATCATGTTCTACTTCTTCGTTTTTTTACACATGGATTTGGATATTGGAACACAAATTCAACGACAAGGCCTGTGTAGCAGTATATCCAGTGTAGGGGTTGCGAGCACTAGTATCTGAGGGGTGCTTTTGCTGAAGAAGGTTAGGTCCCAGCCAAAAGCCACAAGGCATTACAAGGCTCTTAGTCATTGGTTTGTTCCCCCCACCAAGTAGCAGTCCAAAAACACCTACTGTAGATTATATAGTAGACTAGATCATTCTTCCCTCGATCATTTGCCCCCTTAACCCAAAGGGAATTTAACGATCAACACTAAACTTATCATAAACCAATCACTGAGTGAAAAAGGCATCTGAACCCAGAAACCGAGTGTCTGGGTGCATGATATTCATGTCCCACCGCAGTCGCTAGAGACCTCTGAAAACACCGGAGGAACAAGACTGAACGCGGTGAACCCTTTCGCACTGAGGCATTCGTGCACAGATTGGAAGCGAAGGTGACCTTGGATCATGTTGAGACTGTTTTTGGATTCGTCTTTGTTTGTTACACAGTTAGTTGTTCAGGACATTAGCTGGTGGGTTGGTGGGTCCCGGTGGGTGGACTGATATGGAATCTCGAAAAATAAGAACAACCACTGGAAGAGGGTTTTCCAATACTTTGCTAGCTATTTTGGAGGGGCGTTGCGAATTTTATGGATGAGATCGTTTGAGGCCTTCAGGAGGTCGACCATTGCCAGGGGAACGTCCAGGCCAGGGAAAACTCGTCTCATCGGGTTCCAGGGTTCCGGGAAAGGTCTTCAGTTCCAACCTCTAGGAGCAAGAAGCTACTAGTAGCAAGGTGCCTTACTACTAGTAACAAGGACGCTACTAGGGGCTCCTGGCATCGCTACTAGGAGCAAGGACGCTACTAGGGGCTCCTGGCATCGCTACTAGGAGCAAGGATGCTACTAGGGGCTCCTGGCATCGCTACTAGGAGCAAGGACGCTACTA